CTGATTAAATGAATCACTAATTGTCTATGATGGAAAGTTTCACCTTCAAACCAACAAATTGTAAAATAAATTGTTTACTCGTTACATTTTCTAAAATATTGGAGCATTTTGTGGCCACTTTTCTAATCTGATTTCAGCACATCTTTTTAAGCCACATTTGAATGCATCTCCAAGGTGAAAACTCAGCTGTGAAGCACTGTTTATAAATGTTATATTTTTAATGTTATAGTCAGTATAAAGGGTGATCATTCAGAAACTTTTTTTTTACCCCCGTTTTAAAAAAATTGTGACTGCGTGTTACACTTTAATTCTATTCACAACCACTTAAAGTGACAAAACACTAGAATAATATCCCATAAGGCAACTTGCACCTAAACGTCTTAACTGCAACTTGCAGCAGCAGTGACTTTTTTTACAGCAGAAAGATCGGATGCAGGATTAATTGACTTTCCATTCAGAACTGGAACCAGGTGACGCCAAACGGACTGAGGCTGCAGATAAGAACAGGGACTGCCCTCTCTGGCTGCGTTCCAGGATGCTGGAACTGGAGCGTGCCCATCGGATTTTAGGCTGCTGCCGAGGAAGCTAACTATATAGCCTTGTTATTAAATTGTGACAAAGTGCTTCATAATTAAAACTCTAGCAACAAAAAAAGAGTGTTAGTTTTATAATAAAATAATTTTGTTTTTTCAACTTCTTTCAAAAACTGATTATTGATAAATATTATAAGCATTTGCACAGAAACAAATCAGAGATTTATTTCAGTGGGGTTTTTTTTACGTGCCTTCACAGCCAAAAAATTAAAAAGACTCTAAAGATAAAGATAGAGTTTTTCCACTTATTTATTTATTTATTTTTTGCCATGACAATAATGTAATCACACAACCGATAGGGATACTGAACAGGAACAACCAGCTTAGGTATAATGAAAGAGAAGCGTACAAACCAAACCTACAACATGATCAACAAAATAAATAAATAAAAATGTTTTGATGCTGAAATCTGAATTTTGTTAAATGCACATGTAGAAATTATTTATTAATATGATGTTCTGGACAAAGTATGAGGGCAAAGAAGTATTTTTAAAACATATTTAGCAGATTTTTTCATATAAATACATAGATTATATTTGTGCAATTAGCTTTAGATGAGTAGTTAATGTAATAAAATGTCTTCATTCAGCATAGGACAGGGCGATACGTGGTAAAAATATAATCTCCAAATCTTTTCTAATAAATAGATTATTTTTCTCACATAGGTTTTACAATAAGAATACTGCTTTCAAAAACTGGCTTTAATTTCAATCATCTCCTCTGTGATGTGACCTTAATTTAAAGGGCAACTAAATTCAAGCTAGGAAACATGTAAATAATCCTGTTTTAAAACTAACAACGGAAATATAACAGACTAAATGTTTGCAGCTGGTGGTATCACACTGAGAGCTAGTTTACAAAACTTTAATCTTTATAAAGAAAACATTTGATTTATCAATAAAATCAATTAATCTTCCAGCCCTAGTTCAACAGATGCATACAAAATCAACTCAAGGGAATGCTTCTTCCTGCCAATTCTCAAAAGGGTTTCAGATATCAGCTCATAAAACACAAAACAAGCCTTTTCACAGCCATTTTTTATGTTTATAATCATGTGTACGCTGAGCTTTGATGACAAAAATTACCCTAATTTTTTTTCTCAACCAGCATTTTTTATTTTTTATTTTTTTTTATTGCTGACATAGAAATAGAAACTACGGGTGTCTCAATATTGCAGCTTTGAGAATTGGCAGATATTGATATCGACCTGAAACAATATTAGCTTGAATAGTACCAGCTTTTATAACATATCTTATAGTGTGGAATGTAAGAAAAGGCTTGATCGAGTACTATTACTAAAACATGGAACAAAAGTTAACAACAGAAGGTATGAAAACAACTGACCCACCTAAAATTAACCAATGAGTTTCAGAAACCTTTAACAGAAGCAGAGCTTTTTCAACAGCATGAAAACATCAGAGATTTTAGATGCTGGGTAATAAAATCTGATATAATTTTTTTGGCTAATATCGGACCAATAACTGCAACTAAAACACCAATGCCAAGGAGCATGGTCCATAAGAGAAACAAAGAGATTTTTTTCCATTTAAGGGCAACTACAATCTAAATCTTTTTCTGATCACCACTCTCCAGTATTGAAATGTTTACTGTATTTAGAAAGTCTCTGTAAGGCCTTTTCCATATTGGTGGAGTTTAAATTGAGATAAGAGGAAACACAAACATTAACAGGAAATTTCTGCCTTCTACAGAGGAATGGCAGCTGTTTACTCAAGCTGCCACTATAGAGAGTTCGACTTCAAGAGATAACATGAGGCTAAAAATATTACAAAGCACTTGCTCTGATTTCTAATTTTAAAGAGTCCAAGTCTGTGTTTCAATAACTATGTCTAATGAAGCGTGGTTAATCATGGAAATCTACTGGCTACAGGAACTCTGAGGAAAACAAACAAGAGAGCTATTAATGCTAACGGTACTAATCTTTATCATTGGATTCTAAAGACAGTTCATAATAAAAAAAAATAAAAATATATTCTTCTGTTTTTATTTTGAAATACCAATAAACTCCTGGCTAACAGCACGGCTATGAAAACAGGGAGTCCTCCCTCACTGATGATGTGATATTACCTCTGATCCTGATAGAAATAACTGATAAAATCCAAATAGAAATCATTTTAAAAGCATTTTTTTGCCATTACAATACACATAAATATTTGTCTTGTATGTGCATCTTAAAACAGTTTTTACTGATTTCGTCTTTACTTTTTTTTTTTTTTTAATGGACAGTTGTTTTTGTACAAACTTTTTTTTTTCCTAAACAAACTTTTATTTGTCTTGGTGTTGTTACAGTTAGAGCTGAGACTATTAGTCGGATTAATCAATTATTGAAAAAGATTGTCAACTAATTTAGTTTGATTAATCATTCAATTGAGTATAGGGAATGTAAAACATGCCTTTCGCTGACAGAGCAGTCCACTTAGAGCAGTAATTGAAAAAAATATATAAATATTTTGCATTTAAGATAAAATAACAAATATTTTGTCTGTCAATATGCTCTATCCAGAACTCCTCACAAGGAAAAAAATTAGTTTGACCGTGTTTAATTCTTTAAAAAAAATTGTCTTTAAGGAACCTTTGGCTATCAGAGTATTTATTGATTATTTAATTAAATAATTCACAGATTAATCAATTTGCCAAAAAATCATTAGTTGAAGTCCTAGTTACAATCATTTAAACGTTGTGGTTATCCCTGTTCCCTGTGCATCTTTTTGCATCTAAGTTTTTCGTTCTGCTCCTCCGTCCTTTAATGAGAGGATACAGCACTTTGTAAACAACCAGCATCCTTTGCCTTTATCTTTTCTTTTTGTCTCGTCTTTTCTGTTTGTGTAGGTCATATTATTACATTTCTGTATTGACTCTTTAATTGGTCTGACTAAATAATTTACTTTACTGAAATAAAAAAGGAATTTTGTTGTGTTTCTGTAAGCTTGATGGATGTAGTTATATATGCTGAATCTTTACAAGATGTGACATACTTTGAATAAAATTATTGTACTTTCTAACCTGATAATATATATATATATATATATATATATATATATATATATATATATATATA